CAACAAAACAAACGGATCTGGATCACATCGTTTTACCTGAGGCTTCCTCACGAAAATGATGAAAATGTAGCTGCGGCCAGGGGCGGCGGGGGTCCGTGCAACAGGGGCCCAAACATAATATGTCTTTAGAAGTAATAATGTTCAACAACCAACAACCACAACAACAACAACAACAACAACAACAACAACAACAACATCAACATCAACAACAACAACAACAACAACAACAACAACAACAACAACAATTACTAGCACGTGGGGACACTCCGTTCTCACCAGTGCCAGGGTTTTCATCGGAGGCGGGCAATACCCCCACTTTGTGGGGGGGCCGGTTCAAGCTCTACCAAATTTCCAAACGACTCTTCGCCACCACCCACACCCAGCTTCCCGCCCTATGACGTTCGGACACTTCACTTCGTGGCATGCGGACGACCGTGGCTAATATTCAGGGCCCCGCGGCCGACGACGACGGCGTGCGCGCGCGAAGAAAAAACGAATGTGTCCCGCATGGTATTATTTGACAGGGCTGATGGCCCTGGCAGGTGCGCAACCGTTGTCGCAGAAGTTCGAAAAAGTTGCTCGCAAAAGCCCGTTTGACAGAAATGTTTAAAAAGTGTGGGTTTTCCTACGAATCCGCAAGAGCGCGCGGGATGAGATTTTGACATTTTTTGTTGAAAAACCATTGTTTTTTTGATGTTTTTATGTTAAAATCGTTCCGAACACTAAGCTTTTGGAAGGATTTCGTCTTGCGCGCGCGAATGTCCACTTTACCTTATTTTTTGCAAGGGATTCTTGAAGTTTGGTTATGTTAGAACAAGAAATGTCACTTTAGCTTATTTTTTGCAAGGGAAAACCGATCGTAACAACACAACCGGATCCGGACCAACCCGTTTTGCCTGAGACTTCCTCACGAAAATGATGAAAATGAGGCTGCGGCCTAGGCGCGGCGGGGGGGTCGCGCACCAGGGGTCCCAACAATAATTATTCTTTAGAAGTAATAATGTTCAACAACAACAACAGCACACCAACAACAAAAAACGTCCCCTGACGATGTGCTTCACCATCTTTGCAGATGCCCCCTGTCGAAGGACATGCCTGACTTACTGGACGCCCCCCCCGTGCCTTCTCGCAGGCCACGGCCTCCCCGCCTGCCCGCCTGCCCGGGAGACCACGGCCCCCCCGCCCCCCCCCCCCCCGAGCCCGCGCCGATCCTTGGCCTCCCGGATCCCGTCCAGGAGCGCGCGGTGCTCGCGCAGCCTGGCCTCCGAAGGGCCCATCTTCACCACGACCACAACAGTGGCGGAGGAGGAGGAGGAGGAGGCAGGAGGAGGAGGAGGAGGAGGAGGAGGAGGGGAGGAGAGAGGAGAGAGGAGGAGGAGGAGGAGGAGGAGGAGGAGGAAGGAGGAGGAGGAGGAAGGGGAGGAGGAGGAGGAGAGGAGGAGGAGGAGGAGGAGGAGGAGGGCGGAGGAGGAGGCGGAGGAGGAGAGGAGGAGGAGGAGGAGGAGGAGGAAGGAGGAGGAGAGGAGGAGGAGGAGGAGGAGGAGGAGGAGGACCTCCTCATCCTCCCTCCTCCCCCGTCCTACATATGGTGGTGGTGGTGGAAAACTTGCCCAGCACGGCCTCGTTGACCTTCAGGTTGCTGGTCATGGAGTCCAGCCTGCGGGCCGTGGAGGTCTCGCCGCCCGCGGGCAGGGCGAACTTCCCCAGGCCCGAGTGCTTCGCGAAGTTGACCGGGTCGAAGACGTCGGCCGCCTTCTTGCCCCCGAAGACGAGCATCTCGTCCAGCTTCCGCCGGTTCGCCTCTATCTCCTGCCTGTTGGCCTGGAGATTCTCGCGCATCGCATCGATGCGCTTGTGCACCAGCGCCGCCTCGCTGCGCGGGTCCAGCCCCCTCTCCTCCTCCTCCTCCTCATTGGGGGCGCCGGCCGCCCCCCGCTTCTCGGCGAGGGCGGCCGCGCCGCTCGACTCCATGGCGTGGACCTCGTCCATGAAGGCGCGGTTGGCCGCCAGCTCCTTCTTGTTCCTCCAGAAGGAAGCACAGAAAGGCAGGATCAATTGTGAGAAAAAAAACGCTGTGATCAGAAACATCGCTGAGATGTTTTGTGACACCGATTTGTCATCACACTTGTTCGGATGCTTATCACCGATGTTTTGTCACACTTGTTCGGAGCTCCCTGTTCCTCCAGAAAGGAGCACAGACGGGCATAAACCACAAACATCATCCTGCGGAGGCTCCGCGCGAACTTCGCGGAGATCGGCGCTGGAGCCCCCGCGGCGGCGGAGAGGCGCCTGCAGGAGGAGCCCAGCGCAGAGCCCAGAAAGCCGCGCAGGGACCTCTGAAAGCTGATGCTTACAGCAGAGGCCCGACCACAAGAAACCTTCCACAAGAAACCCAACCCTGAGACCCCAGGACGTCCACTGATTCTCGGTGCGGGAACGCCACGCCTTGCACATAGCAAAACCATCGAAGCCCAAGAAACCCAGGGCACCCTGGAGGCAAGCCAGGGCGCTTCTTGGCATGGGCCCCCACTGCATGCCGTGTTCTGCGCCTCGATTTAGGTCGGGCATGTCCCCCTACAGAAGGATCTTGGACGAAAAATGAGAAATACCCGAAAAAAAACAAACATATTCAAAAGATACTCAAAAAATGGTCCCCCCTATTATGTTGTGGCTATTGTTGGCTATTCCTCCTGCACAGGGACAGGCCCGACTTACGCCTCGGTCCTCTCCGCGTTCCTCTTCACGGCCTCGACCCTGAGAGTGGCGGCGCGCGCCCGCGGGGGGGCGGGCGCGAGGAAGGCGGCCTCCCGAGAGGCCCTTGAGGACGCCTCTGAAGACAGGGGGGGGGCTCTCAGAAGACCTGCCGGCTTCCTCCTCCTCCTCCCTCCTCATCGTCCTCCTCCTCCTCCTCCTCCTCCGTCCTCCTCCTCCTCCTCCTCCTCCTTCTCCTCCTCCTCCTCCTCTCTCTTCCTTCCTCCTCCTCCTCTCCTCTCCTCCCTCTCCTCCTCCTCCTCCTTCTCCTTCTCTCTCCTCCTCCTCCTCCTCCTCCTCCTCCTCCTCCGCCCTCGAGGGCGTCTCGGAAGACTTTTTGGGGGGGGCTCTCATAAGGCCGCCCCCGGCTTCTGAGAGCAACCCCGTCGAAATCCTCCCTGCGAGGCCCTCGCACAAGCTCCCAGGCCTCTCCGTCGCCATCACTCGGCCATCTCCATCTCCAGAAGGCCCCTGGCCTCGCCACCGCTCGAACGTCCCTAATTATTCCCTGTGCATGTTTCGGTCTCGTGCGCGTCTACTTCGCGGGAGGACCTCAAACGCTCCTCGACGGTCCTTGCCGAGGAAGAAACGCACACGTCTGAGCGATGCAAAGCTGCGCAATATCTGCCCTGATATCCGCCCGGAGCCCTGGACCCTATTTTTCTGCGTCAGCCTTCGAGCTGGATCGATCTGTGAGGGTCCCGGGCCACGAAATTGGGCGAAAATGCTCGGTGCAAACAAAAAAAATGCAACGCCAGGATCGCAGGGAAGCTGCGCAACATCTGAGTAGCCTTCCGCCCTCTCAGAAGGGCCTCCCCCCCCCTCGCGCCGCCCCCTCATGCCCAGACCCCCGACGTCGTGCTTTCTTCGCAGCGCCGACCCCCTAAGAGGTCTGGACCCCTTCCCTGGGACCAGTTTGATTTCCCATCCCGAGTCGATTTTGGACGGCCCCAGGGCCCCGTCAGGGCCCCAGGAAGCCGAAAATAGCTTCAGGTCGGGCATGTCCCCCTACAGGCGGATTCTGGGCGAAAATGAAAAAGAATACCCAAAATAGATTCAAAAACAGTCCAAAAATAATCGAAAAATCGTCCCCTGACTATGTCTTGACTATGTTTGCATACCCCTCCTGCAGAGTCGGCTGCACGTAAGAGTGACCCTGGGTAAGAGTGACCTTTGGTGCGCGGCTTTTTCGGGGGCGCGAGGAGGCCAAACACGAGCGCGCAAGACGCGAATACCGCAACGAGCGCGGCGATCGGGGGACCCCAGTGAGCGCGCACCAGAGGTCACTCCGGCGAAAGGTCACTCTTACGTGTAGTCGACAGAGGGCCACGCCCGACGTACGAAAAGCGACAAAAAAAAACCTTCCGCCGCGTTTTTTGCTTCCGAACTTGGTGGCCCCCAAACGTGGTGGTGAGAACACCCGGTGATGAATTTTGGGCGATTCGGGTAATGGCTTTCGAGCGCTGGCTGGCCCAAGCAACGCAAAACCCCGTGGCGACCGCGTGTCCCCAAACCCGGTGGTGACCCAGAATTACTTTTTGTGGGAACCGGGGTCACCACCGGGTGTCTCACCACCTGGTTTGGAGACCACCAACGATCGGGAGCGGCCAAGAGGGGGGTGTCCAAGAGGGGGGGGTGCAAATCATGACCGGCGGCATGTGCGCGGCCCAGCGGGGGGGCCAGGGACGTAATGAAATAAGAAGAGGCGCCATGAAATCTGGGGAAATATCATGGCCCACGCCATGAGATCCACCCCCCCCTAGTCATCACCCCTCTCTTTGCCGCCCCCGAAACGAACGCGAGGGGGTCTCGGCGCGCGCCCCGCCGGCCGGAGGTAGAGGCCGCCCATGCCGCCGCTCGGCGGGCAGAAGGGCAGCCCGCCCAGGGAGAGCCCGGCGCCGGCCCGCAGGGGGCTGGCCGCGCTGCTGCCCGCGCCCAGGGCGCCCTCGCTGCCGAACCTCGCCGGGGGCACGCCGCGGGGCCCAGAGCCTCCTCCTCCGCCTCCTCCTCCTCCTCCTCCTCCTCCTCCTCCTCCGTCTCCGCCTCCTCCTCCCCCTCCTCCTCCGCCTCCGCCTCCGCCTCCGCCTCCTCCTCCGTCTCCGCCTCCTCCTCCTCCTCCGCCTCCTCCTCCTCCTCCTCCTCCTCCTCCTCCTCCTCCTCCTCCTCCCCTCCCTCCTCGCTCCGCCTCCGCCTCCTCCTCCTCCTCCTGCCCCTCCTCCCCCCCTCCTCCCCCTCTCGCGCTGTGAAGAAAGCTGCGGCGGGAGGTTTTTCGCCATTTTCAGCTGCCAGGGGCCCTCACCGGGCCTCTCGGGGCTGTCGAAGAGCGACTCGGGGCGAAAAAAAACATCCCCAGGGAAGGGGTCCAGACTTCTGAGAGCCCTCGCTCCCGAACCCCGGGCGCACGCCGAGCGTCATGTTGCTCCCATCGCACTCCGGGACCACATCCAAAAAAAGGTTGGAACACCCAGAAAAGCATCGAAACGGTGTCGAACGAGTACTCCAGCTTTCGTAATAAAAGGGAGGGGGTCTGGACCCTCCAAGACAAGCCATTTCAGACCTCCCCCGTGGGAGAACCCTCCAAAACATCGTCCCCAGACCCCCCAGGCCCTCCAAGATAGCCTGGAAGAGACCCCCCCCGAAATGAGACCCCCCTCCCTTTCTTACGAAATCTGGCGTATCGCCTCCCAGGGCCCGGCGCGTGAAAACCTCATCGGCGGCGCGCGCAGGCGGGGCAGGGGGAGGGGGGGAAGGCTTCTTAGAAGCACCCCTGCTTCTTCGAAGGCGCGGGCCCTGTCTGCGGATGTAAGGCCGGCGCCTTCTAAGAGGCAGCCTCCTTCTAAGAAGCCTTCCCTCCTCCCCCCACCCCAGTCTGCGCGCCGCCAACCTCGGGCGCACGCCAAGTGAGCGTGTCCTGATTCGGCATTTCGGCACTGCACGGAAGGGGGGGGGAAGGGCGGGGTCTGGCTGCGGGCCTCTGCTTCGTGCGACGGTGTGCAAGAGTGAGTCCTGTGGGGGGAAACTCCGCCTGCTCGAAACAGGCGCCAAAAACAGCCACGATGAGCTCCATGGGGGAGGGGCGGGTGCGAGGGCCCGCGCCGATCGGCAAAACAATGCATAAGAAAACGATCGCCAAGCTGGAACCCCATGGGACGCAAAGAGACATACCAATACTATATGTCCTCCTTGGAGGCGCGCGTCCGACCCGAACATGTAGCGCATCCATCTTGTAGCGCATCGTTTCCCGAGCGGCGTGGCCAGAAAGCGCCCGCCACGACGCATATACTGGGAGAGCTCTCGGTGCGCGCGTCGCCCCTGGGCCCTGGAGGGGCGACGCGCACATAGTGTTAGTATGTTGGGGTGACGCCGACGCCAAGCTGGACCCCCAGGGCCCCTCCGAGTTGGTGCAGGTCCACAGAACCCTGAGGTCCTGGCGCTGCAATGTTTTCACACCAAGCGTTTTCGCCCGATTTCGGGCCCCGGAGCCCTCACAGATCCAGCTGGCTCAAGAAATGACGCAGAAAAGTGAGGTCCAGGGCTCCAGGCGTGATTGTTCGCGACATTGCCATTTTTCCGCGACGTCGGATCCCAAGGCACGGCAAGGGATCGAAACGCCGGGCCCCCGGCCCCAGAAGGGCTGGCCATCGCTCGGACGTCCATTTCCTGTGCTTCTTTCGGTTTCGTGCGTGGCCTTTTCGCCCAATGATCAAGGATGCTCCTTGATGCTCCTCGCCGAAGGAAAACTGCACACGTCCGAGCGATGCCGAGAGGGGGTCGAGACCTCCGGGGGCCGCGGGCTGCAAGAGACCAGGGCACCGCGTGCCTGGGAGCGCTGGCCCGCGGAGCCGACACGTGGGCGCCAGATCCACGGATCGGGGAGAGCACACCCCGCAGCACGAGGCCGGCGCCGCCTCAGCTCATGGCGACGGGGCGCGCCGGCTCCCGAGGGTGGTGGGACCCGTCGCCCATCCGGGGGGGGGCCAAGAGTGTGCCGAAACCGCTCCTCCCGGGACCTCTTCTGGGGTGCGTTCGGGCCCAAGCTTCGAGGCGGAGTCGGCCGTGGCGACGAGGGCATCCCAGGAGGCCCCCCCAGAAACGCGGAAAGGAGGCAAGGGCAGCGGCATCGATGCCTCCTCGTCCTCCTATCCATATTCAAATTCCTGCTCCCATTCCTAGTCCTGTTCCTGTTCCCATTCCTATTCCTATTCCTAGTCCTAGTCCTGTTCCTATTCGTATTCCTATTCCTATGTATTCCTAGTCCTGTTCCAGTTCCTGTTCCTAGTCCTACTCCTAATGATTCCAATTCCTATTCCTATTCCCTCCTGCTCCTCCTCCTGCTCCTCCTCCTCTTCCTCCTACTCTTCTTATTATTATTCGTATTATGAATTATTACTAGTAGTAGTATCATTATTATAATTAGTATGATTAGTCTTATTCTTATTATTACTATTTAGTATTAGTATTAGCATTATTCGTATTATTAGTAGTCTTCATATTCTTAGTATTCGTAGTATTGATATTATGATTGATAGTATTATTATTATTAATAGTAGTAGTAGAATTATTATTCTTATTAATAGTTGTAAAGGCTAGTATTAGTAATAGTAAGCTTATCAATATTGGTATTAATTATAATAGTATTATTACTATTCTTATCATTGTTAGTAGTATCATTATTCTTATTTTTATTATTCATCCTCGTCCTCTTCCTCCTCCTCCTCCTCCTCCTCATCCTCCTCCTCATCCTCCCCCTCTGCTGATCCATGCTTCGGCCTCCTCGGGAGAGCCGCTGGAGGGGGCTGCTGCCACCGAGCCCCCGCGAGGACACGGCCAGGCTGGGGCTGCTGGCCGAGGCCTGGCCGAAGAGCGCACCGAGGCGCTCGCTATGGCTCAGCTCCGAGGCGCGGCGCTGCCGCGCCTGCGCGGCGCCCACCACCTCAGGAGGCAACTGCTGGGAAGTCATCGTCGGAAGGACGAATGAGGAGGACTAAGCCCCAGCGGGGGGCTGTTACGCCAGATTGGGCCTCGGATTCAGCGGGAATATCGGGAGCGGCCAAGAGGGGGGTGTCCAAGAGGGGGGGTGCAAATCATGACCGGCGGCATGTGCGCGGCCCAGCGGGCGGCCAGGGACGTAATGAAATAAGAAGAGGCGCCATGAAATCTGGGGAAATATCATGGCCCCCGCCATGATATCCACCCCCCCTAGTCATCACCCCCCTCTTTTCCGCCCCCGAGATTCAGCCGGGCCAAGCCGGATTAAGCGGGATGAAGCCGGACTGAGCCGGATTTCGGACCAGGGCAAAACCAGACAGGAGTTGCATCCGAACACCACCTGCGCGGCGCCCACGGGGCTGCCGCAGTCCTCGGGGCCGCCCGCGGCGACGGCGCACCCGGGCAGGTCCAGGGGAGGCAGGAGGGAGGGGGGAGAGGAGAGGGGGACGAAGAGAGGGGAGAGGAGAGGGAGGGGAGAGGAGAGGGGAGAGGAGAGAGGAGAGGGGGGTAGAGGGGAGGGAGGGGAGAGGAGGGGAGGGGAGAGGAGAGGGGAGAGGGGAGGGAGGGGAGAGGAGAGGGGAGAGGGGAGGGGGGTAGAGGGGAGGGAGGGGGGACGAGGAGAGGGGGTGGGGCAGTGGAGGAGGGAGGGCGAGCAGAACGGGGCGGGAGGGGGCAGGAGGAACCGACGAATCGACGTTTCCCACCCGGGCCTTTCCGCGAACTCTGCCTCCGGAGCCCCGCGATCCAGGACGGAGAACTACTTACCCCCAGGCGAGGGGTTGAGAGTTTTAGGGGAACGTAGACACAAAAACTCGGAGGTCCGCGCGGATTTCTCGGATCGGCGCTGGACCCCCCCTGATTTTTATGTTTGTGTCATTCTTCGTTCCCCCATTGGCGGCCGCGGATTGAACAAATCACATCGGAGGATGTCTGGGCAACCAGATGCCGGCTGGACCGACGTCGAGATGGCGAAACAGAGCGGAGCCGAGCCTGCCAGAAGCAGCCCCTGAGAGAGGGGCGCGGCAGGGAGGCACGACGGCCGACCGAACCCAGCAGAACCGACCGAGCGCAGCCGACTGCGACGCGGCCGAACCGGCCGTACCGCGGACACCCTCGGTGATGCTCTTCGCCTAGCCTTCTCATTGCACCGACCTTGCAGACGTGCTGCAGCGGACTTTTTGGCGTGGATTTCTGTCGATGCAGAACCCTGAAACGGCGAGCGAAAAACCAAAAAGAATGTCACGTGGATGTTTTGCAGTCTTCATGCCTGGCCAACCGAAAAGCCGCACGAAATCCACCTCGAAATCCGGAACGAAATCCTCCATGACAGTCCGGGCCCATCCCACTGTCTACCGAGCGAGATCCGCTCCGCGATATTGGCGCCACGAGCCGTCGGATCACAGCTCGGGTCTCCAGCGGCCGCTCGGGGCGATCCGGGCACCCCCGGAAATAGGGGGCCACCTGCGAACCCTGCCCCTACCCCAACGATTTCTGAGGGGGAGGGTGGGGTTCACTCCGCTCGGGAGCTCTCCCGAGCGGAGTGAACCCCCGCCCTCCCCCTCAGAAATCGTGGGGGGTAGGGGCAGGGCTCGCAGGTGGCCCCCGAGGAATGCCCTCGGCGAGGCGCAGCGGATGGCATGCGCCCCGAGGCCAGAGGACCTCCCGGGGGGCCGAAGGAAAGGTTCGGCCGGGGACCTCCGAGCCCAGGCATACTCCGACATGGTTTTTCGATCCGCGGCCCCATGAGCTCCCGACCCCCTCCCCTGCAGTCGAGTCGCGGCCTGGATCCTGTCTTGTTGCTCTGGGGCCCGATCACGAGGCCCAGAATCCGAAGTCGAGGAAAAATGCCCATATTGAAAACAACATCAACCACCACCACCACCACCACCACCACCACCACCACCACAAACAACAACAACAACAACAACAACAACAACAACAACAACAACAACAACAACAACCACAACCACAACCACAACCACAACCACAACAACAACAACAGCAACAACAACAGCAACAACAACAAGAAGAAGAACAGCAACAACAACCACACCAACAACAGCAACAACAACAACAACAATAAGAGCAAGAACCAGAACAACAGCAACAACAACAACACAACAACAAGAAGAACAAAAACAATAACAGCAGCAGCAACAACAACAACAATATGTTTAAGATTGTTGGCTCCGATCTGCTCACGTGCCAATCAATACGTATAGGCCAAACCCTCGGTACCCGCCCTCGTCGTCTTCGATCGTACCCCCTTGAGGGTATATTTTCCTTACCTGCCACGTGGATTTAGTGCAGCCCCTAAAACAAGGGAAGAGAAGACGGGTGGAAGGGGGAGGGAGAAGAATGGAGCACGAGAGAAATTAGCAGAAGGGGGGCAAGGAGCACAAAAGAAGTGGTAGAACCAGATGGGCAGATCGGGTAGGCAGACCCATAACGGGCAGGTCGGGAAGGCGGGCCCAGGCGACGAGGTCGAGCGGCCAGATTGCTGAAGCGTGGGTCCTGCATGTATCGCGAGGAAATCTCGAGCAATAGCGCGATTCCCAAGTAAATCAGGAGAGAAGCCAAAGCGAGAGCGTGATTCCTGAGCGCCGAGGGCGCATCGTCTAAATGATTGCGAGGAAGTCCCACGCGACAAAACGATGCGTACATGAATTGTGAGGAAATCCCGCGCGAGAGCGCGATTTGTGAATAAATTGTGAGGAAATATCAGGCGGGAGCCGTTGTTGTTGAATGCGAATTACTAAACAATGATTATTGTTGGACACCCCCAGGCGCATTGACGCTCTCGCCTCGGCGCCGACTACATTGTCATTGAAAATGAGGCTCACGCTTGAGCGGCTTGGGGGGGCGCCAAGACTGACCCCCCAACAACAACAACAACAACAACTACAACAACAACAACAACAACAACCATTTTAAGGCTGTACGCTCTTACTTGCCCGCGAGTCATTCAACACGTATACCCTACACCCTCGAAACCCGCCCTCTTCGTCTTCGATCACACCCCTTTCGGGGGGATTATTTCTCTTTGCTGGGGCCGGCGGGCTTAGACGTACGGGCAAACCGGAACGGGCGGACAATCCTTCGGGGGCGTACTTCTCTCTGCCCGCCATTGGAATTGGCGCGGGCCCTGCAAGAGGAGGAGGGGAAGAACGAGGGAGAGTGGAGGAAGGGGAGGGGGAAGGACGAAGGAAGAGGGAAGATACCACGTTGTGAAGGCGTCCTTGGCGCGTGCGTGGTTCCTGAGCGCCGAAACGCAATTCCAGAATAATTTGTGGGGACGTCGCACGCGAGAGCGCAGTCCTGAGTACACTGTGAGGAAATCTCGGGCGGAAGCGGGGGCCCTGACTAAGTTGCGAGGAAGTCTCAAGCGGGAGCGCCGTTCCTGAGCAAATTGCACGGAAGTCTCAGGCGGGAGCGGGGGTCCTCACTAAATTGCGAGGAAGTCTCAGGCGGGAGCGCCGTTCCTGAGTCAATTGCGCGAAAATGTCAAGCAGGAGCGGGGGTCCTGAGTAAAATTCGAAGAAGTCTCAGGCGGGAGCGCCGTTCCCACGTAAATTGCACGGAAGTCTCAGGCGGGAGCGGGGGTCTTGATTACATTGCGAGGAAGTCTCAGATGGGAGCGCCTTTCCTGAGTAAATTGCGCGGAAGTCTCAGGCGGGAGCGGGGGTCCTGAGTAAAAATCGAAGAAGTCTCAAGCGGAGCCGTTGTTGTTGTAGCCCGGGGGGCAGGGGCACAGTTTGAGCAGGAAGACTTTCCTTTAGAAAAAACAAGGTGCGAGCCCCGGGGGTGGCACTTCAATCGAAAAAAACAATGTGCACCGGTGGGGGGGATCAACAATAATTATTCTTCAAGAATGAGAGTTCAACAACAACAACAACAACAACAACAACAACAACAACAACAACAACCATTACTAGCACGTGGGGACACTCCGTTCTCACCAGTGCCAGGGTTTTCATAGGAGGCGGGCAATACCCCCACTTTGTGGGGGGGCCGGTTCAAGCTCTACCAAATTTCCAAACGACTCTTCGCCACCACCCACACCCAGCTTCCCGCCCTATGACGTTCGGACACTTACTTCGTGGCATGCGGACGACCGTGGCTACTATTCAGGGCCCCGCGGCCGACGACGACGGCGTGCGCGCGCGAAGAAAAAACGAATGTGTCCCGCATGGTATTATTTGACAGGGATGATGGCCCTGGCAGGTGCGCAACCGTTGTCGCAGAAGTTCGAAAAAGTTGCTCGCAAAAGCCCGTTTGACAGAAATGTTTAAAAAGTGTGGGTTTTCCTACGAATCCGCAAGAGCGCGCGGGATGAGATTTTGACATTTTTTTGTTGAAAAACCATTGGTTTTTTGATGTTTTTATGTTAAAATCGCTCCGAACACTAAGCTTTTGGAAGGATTTCGTCTTGCGCGCGCGAATGTCCACTTACCTTATTTTTTGCAAGGGATTCTTGAAATTTGATTATAGTAGAACAAGAAATGTCATTTTATAGTGTTTTTTGCAAGGGAAAACGGATTACAACAAAACAACCGGATCTGGA